GTTTCTACTTCCTTGGTGTTAGTCGTGATCTCTCCCCTTTCATTCATAATTTTATTAATTTGGGTCCTTTCTCTTTTCTTTTGGATAAGTCTGGCCAGTGGTTTATTGATCTTATTAATTCTTTCAAAGAACCAGCTTCTAGTTTCATTGATCTGATCTACTGGGTTTCTGGTTTCTAATTCATTGATCTCCGCTCTATTATTTCTCTTGTAATTGAAAAGCTACTTTCACCATCATCATGGAAATTCCTTTTGTCTCTATTGTTCTATAATGAAATGTCTTTTAGTACGGGTCTGTTTCCATCCATTATATTGGGCAATCACTGGGCCCTTTGAATCTTGAAACTCATGGTCTTCAGTTCTATGAAACTTATTTGAATTACTTTATTAATGATCTGTCCTCCCCGTTTTCTTTGTTCTGTCTTTCTGGACCTCCCATTAGTGGCTCACTGGATCTCCTGAACTGCTCCTCTCTTTTATCTTTTTCAATTTAACTGGTAGTGGAAAGAAGGGCCATATGCACCCCAATGTTCAGAGCAGCAACGTCCGCAATAGCCAAACTGTGGAAAGAGCCGAGATGCCCTTCAACAGATGAACAGATAAAGAAGATGTGGTCCTTAACAAGTCAGGAAATGACAGATGTTGGCGGGGATGCGGAGAAAGGGGAACCCTCCTACATTCTTGGTGGGAATGCAAACTGGTGCAGCCACTCTGGAAAACAGTATGGAGGTTCCTCAAAAAGTTGAAAAGAGAGCCACCATATGATCCAGCAATAGCACTACTGGGTATTTACCCCAAAGATACAAATGTAGGGATCTGAAGGGGTATGTGTACCCTGATGTTTATAGCAGCAATGTCCACAATAGCCAAACTGTGGAAAGAGCCAAGATGTCCATCGATAGATGACTGGATAAAGAAGATGTGGTATATATATACGGTGGAATATTATGCAGCCATCAAAAGGAATGAAATCTTGCCATTTGCAATGACGCAGATGGAACTGGCGGGTATTATGCTGAGCAAAATAAGTCAATCAGAGAAAGACATGTATCATATGACCTCATTGGTATGAGGAATTCTTAATCTCAGGAAACAAACTGAGGGTTACTGGAGTGGTGGGGGGTGGGAGGGATGGGGTGACTGGGTGATAGACATTGAGGAGGGTATGTGCTATGGTGAGCACTGTGAATTGTGCAAGACTGTTGAATCACAGATCTGTACCTCTGAAACAAGTAATACATTATATGTTAAAAAAAAAAAGAAGAAGAAGAAGTAGATAGCAGGAGGGGAAGAATGAAGGGGGGAATCAGAGGGGGAGATGAACCATGAGAGACGATGGACTCTGAAAACAAATTATGGGTTCTAGAAGGGAGGGGGGGTGGGAGGATGGGTTAGCCTGGTGATGGGTATTAAAGAGGGCACGTTCTGCATGGGGCACTGGGTGTTATACGCATAACAATGAATCATGGAATACTACATCAAAAGCTAATGATGTAATGTATGGTGATTAACATAACATAATAATTAAAAGAAAAGATGTGGTCCATATACACAATGGAATATTACTCAGCCATCAGAAAGGATGAATACCCAACTTTTACATCAACATGGATGGGACTGGAGGAGATTATGCTAAGTGAAATAAGCTGAGAAAGTCAATTACCATATGGTTTCACTTATTTGTGGAACATAAGGAATAGCATGGAGGACATCAGGAGAAAGGGAAAAATGAACAGGGGGAATCAGAGGGGGAGACCAACCATGAGAGACTATGGACTCTGAGAAACAAACTGAGGGTTTTAAGGCGGGGGCTGGAGGGATGGGTTAGCCCAGTGATGGGTACTGAGGAGGGCACATATTGCATGGAGCACTGGGTGTTATATGAAAGCAATGAATCATGGAACACTACACATCAAAAACTAATGATGTACTGTATGGTGACTAACATAATAAAATTTAATTTAATTAAAAAAAAATAAACAAATTCCAGTTAACATACAGTGTAATATTAGTGTCAGGTGTACAAGAATAGTGATTCAACGCTTCCATACAACACCTGCTGCTCATCACAAGTGCACTCCTTCATCCCTATCACTTATTTCACCCATTCCCCTACCCACCTCCCCTCCGGTACCCATCAGTTTGTTCTCTATAATTAAGGGTCTGTTTCTTAGTTTGTCTTTCTCCCCTTTGCTCACTTGTTTTCTTTCTTAAATTCAACATATGACTGAAATCATATTGCATTTGTCTTTCTCGGACTTATTTTGCTTATTAGTACGGTATTTTCTAGCTTCATCCATGTCGTTGCAAATGGGAGGATTTCATTCTTTTATACCATCTTCTTTATCCATTTGTCAATCAATGGACACTTGGGCTGTTTCCATAATTTGGCTATTATAGATAATGCTGCTATAAACATCAAGGTGTATGTATCCCTTCAAATCAGTATTTTTGTATGCTTTGGGTACCCAGTATTGCACTTGCTGGGTCATAGGGTAGTTCTATTTTTAACTTTTTGAGGAACCTCCATACTGTTTTTCAGAGTGGTTCCACCAGTTTCCATTCCCACTAACAATGTAAGAGGATTCCCCCTTCGCTACATCCTCACCAATACCTGTTGTTTCCTATATTGTTGATTTTAGACATTCTGTCTGGTGTGAGATGATATCTCACTGTAGCTTGATTTATATTTCCCTGGTGATGAGTGATGTTGAGCATCTTTTCTTGTGTCTGTTGGCCATCTGTACGTCTTCTTTGGAAAAATGTCTATTCATGTCTCCTGCCCATTTTTCAATTGGATTATTCATTTTTTGAGTGTTGAGTTTTATAAGTTCTTTATATACTTTGGATACTAACCCTTCATCAGATATGTATTTGTAAGTATCTTCTCTCAGATAGAACTAACAAATTCAGTAAAGTCAAAGGATACAAAACCAATGTACAGAAATCTGCTGCATTTCTATACACCAGGAATGAAGCAGCAGAAAGAGAAATTAAGAAATCAATCCCATTTCCAGTTGCACCCAAATCAATAAGCTACCTAGGAATAAACCTAATCAAAGAGGTGAAAGGACCTGTATTCTGAAACTATAAAAAAACTTACAAAAAAAAAACTGAAGATGACACAAAGAAATGGAAAGACATTCCATGCTCATGGACTGGAAGAACAAATATTGTTAAAATGTCTATACTACCTAAATCAATTTTCTTATCTTTTCTTGTCTCTTCCATCTCTTTGTCTTTTTGCTCAACCTTCTAAGATATGTCCTCAACTTTCTTTCCAACTATTCTAGTTGTTTCTTTATGCTATCATTTTTAATTTTCAAAGGCTCTTTTTATAATGAATGTTTCTCTTTCATGCAGTTTATTTATGCAGAAGGTCTGTTGATTAGTTTCATCTGTCTGTCTGGAAGTTTTCTTTACACTGCATAGTTTATTTCTTCCAAGTTGCATTATATCCATTAATTTTAGTTTCGTTGATATAAAGTGTTTCTTCAAATGTAAAAAGTAGGGTTAAAAAACAAAACAACACACTGTTTGAAAGTTCTAGTATGCATTGGTGGAGCTTCCAAACTGGTTTTCCTTGTATGATTATCTGACTAGTCCATTTTGTAGGGAGAACCCCTGGTACCAATATCTCTAGGTCTTCCCTTGAGAGCTGTACAAAAGTCCCAAAGACTTTTTGAACCATCTGCTTAGGAAAATGTGAAATGTGGAAACTGATTGGAAGAAAAAATTAGGGGAATCTTAACATTCAGTATGTAAACATTCATTAAATCTCTTTATTCCAAATATGTACCCATGTCCTCAAATGTATCTGAGAACCTCCAAGAACAGAGATCTTCCATTTTATCCTTTCCAGAGAATAAATCTCCAGGTTTCTGCTAGGATTTGGGAAGATCAGTCAGCCAGATGCTTTACCCAGGTTTACCCAGTTGGTTTAGGATTCAGCTTTCTTCTATCTACTAAGACAACTTAAAATTTGTCTATTTACTTTTTGGATTCCATAGTTTTATAATTGTTGTCTCCAGTTGTTTTATTGTTTGTTGTCGCTTGTCCTGCATAGGTTTTGTCATTTTAGCAATTTTGGAGGAAGAAGTTGAAATTAAATTTATATATTTAATCTGCTATCTCCAGCCATATATGTCTTTCTACTACGGTTATCTTTTTCCCAAAATTTAATCTCTAGCATAATCTGGTCTGGATTTGCATTATCATGGATTATGCCACTACAGATATGAAGGAAATGGCCTTTAATAGGATTAAGAACCAGAAAGATTTCAATGTAATCTTCAAGTGTTCACTGAGGGTTCAATTGCCTTATATAACACAATAAGAGACAAAGATATTCACTTGACAAATAACGTCATATAATGTCTTCAAGGGAACAGAATTATTTCCTGAAACTCTTTTTTCCAGTTTGTTAAACACTTAACTCAGAACAGAATCCCAATCCAAAGCTGGGAAATATTTTCACTCTCATCTGATTTAATCTCCTTTCTCTTAAAACAAAAACCACAAATGATATAATGATTTAGACTTCACCCAAATCACACTGCTAAACATACAGAAAGATAAAGCTTGTCATGTAAATCTGAATTATCATGTGCCTGTCATATAGTAGGTACTTAATATTTGTTGAAAAATAGATAAATCTCAAATTATACCTTATGTCCGAATCTGAAGCCTTCTGCCTCACTGCCAATTTTGTAATCTCTCCTTGAGACATAGTCTTATGAAGCTTTGTTTCTTCATCAACTGAAGAAAATCGCTGTGATGTCTGTAATAATTACATATATGAAAGACTTTAAAACCAAGTAACTATATCACAACACTGCAATTAAAACTCAAGTTATAGAACTGAGAATTACATCTATTAAAAATATATAAAAGTACATTCATATTGTTCAGCCATTCATTGAAATAAAAGAACCTACTAAAAACTTTATTAGCTTCCTAGAATGATGTGAAGTAAAGAGAACTTGGGTCACTAAAATGCTGAATAGGACCTACCAGTTCCTGTTTTCTGACAACTTAACAATATCAAGTGGAAAGGTAAGAAAAAAGTCAAAGCCAACTAAAGATACAGACAAAAGATCCAGGATCTGATAAATCTAGAATACTAAGAATAGCCTTTCATGCCTCCTTTTATGTGTCCCTACGAGTAATAATTACTTTTATGGCCTAACTTGCTATTGTAGATTCTTATTATACCTAGTCAAGGATTTAAGAGAGGAAAATTAAAAACCAAAGGACCAAACAATTAAGATCATTATCACCACTACTGTTCTAAACTAAACAACTTAAGATGGCTTTATCAAACTGGGACCTGAATTTCAAATGGCAATTCTTGTTCCATTTATTTACAATGTGCGCCTTTAAAAAAAATCCCATTCAGAAGAAAAAATTTCTTGTTACCTATTCAAATCCTTCCCTAATATTTCATTTTTCTATAATTATAGTATCTTTTCATTAGCCTTTTAGTCTGCTACAACAGGGACCTGTTTTATCTTCTTGCCTGACACAACCAAAACCAAAAGCAAAACAAAAACCCAGACAAAACAGTAAAAACCAGCATTTATCAAGATGAGGACAGTTATCCTTGAGAGATGGGAAACAAAGGAAGTGAGTCCTTCATCTGCCCCAACTTAGTGCCTTGAGACAGTTTCCAGACTGTGACACAGAGAGGAGGTTTCAGGTGAACCCTGGCAGACTCTCTGAGTTGAACACACAAGGTTGAAAGTCCAGAGAGACTAAAGACCAAAAGAAAGGGGGGCGGGGACTGAAGAGGAAAGAGATGCACAAAAAAAAGAGCTCTGGAGATCTTCAGAGGGTATTTAGCTGAGTACTAATCAACACTTCTATGTCAGACAACTACCCAACACCAGGCAAAGGACCACCTGAAAGGATTAAAGGTAATAGTGCCCAGCACTTACAAAAAGCCAGTAACAGTGCCTATGCCCAAGAGTCAGAATATGTAACTTTATGATTCCCAGGGTACTGGATGAAGTATATAGCAGGATCTTGCCTCTAGAGTCAAGAATAAGTGATAGTCAAAAATAAGTCCTAGGTGAACAACTGCTCTGTTTGGACCTAACAAATCTTAGTTTTATTTAATAAAAATTGTACATAAAGTGTACAAAATGATTTGATTTACATATAAATATTAAAATGATTACTGCAGACTGATTAACATATCATCTCTTCCCATTGTTTTTTTCTTTCATCTCCTTTTTTTTTTTTTTGGTGGTGAGAGCACCTGAAATCTACTCTCTTAGAAAATTTCCAGTATTCAATACAATGAGACTAACAGATATTAAAAGGAAGACCTAATTGCTTAGGAACAAATTGCTCCCAGAACCAGCTCTGAAATATTACTGGAACATAATAGTCTCAAGAATATTAATCAAATACAAAGTATCCAGCACCCAACAAGACAAAATTTACAATGTCAGGCATCTGATAATAAATAACTAGGCATGCAAAGAAATAACAATATATGACTGACAAGGAGGAGAAAAAGTCAATCCATCTATAGTGACTCAAAACTGATACAAATATTGAGCACTAGATCAGAGAACCAACTAAAGGGAAAGGACTTAAAATTGCATGTGATTCAAGGTGACATATTTTTAAAGGCACTGATTCTGAGGAAAATGAATGTAAAAAGGAAAAGAAAGGGTGCCTTTTGGAGACTGAGTAGTGAGGAAGAAGCAGAAGGGGAAAATTTAGAATCTAGCAAGGCAAAACAGAAGCAAAAAATGGAGGACAGAACATTGCCTCCCACACATACACACATACACACACACACACACACACACACACACACAACTAAGACTCCAAACAGGCTGCCTGCTAAGAAACTTTTCTTTTTTACACTGACAGAAGAGGAAGATCTTGAAATCAAGTTACTTATAAACTATCCCAAATGCACAACATGAATAAATTAAGACAAAATCTACACAAGCTATAATAAGAAAACAAAGAAAATTAGAACCAAAACAACTTAGATGATTAACCCATCTCCCACCAAACATACAGAAACCAAGCATGAAGCAGAAAACTATAAATAAAAAATGAAAAACCTCATATATACGAAACACCATACTGAATCAGAAATTCAAAAATTAAAAATAGAAACGAGTCCCCCCACCTCAATAAAAACCAGGAAGCAATGAAGGGAGTTGAATGAACTCAGGAAAGAAATAACAAGATAGTGAAGAATAACTTAGAAGATGCCCAAGGGAGAAAAAATGCAAATGCAGATTTAAAAGGGCTGAACAAAGGCAGGAAGATAATAAAGAATAGAAAGTGGTATAAAGAAATGAGTAAAAAAGAGAGAGAAGGTGGTTGAGATGGAAGACAGGAAAAGAAAAAAAAAAAACTTATTTATAATTGGAGTCCCTAAATAAGAAAAACAAAATAATGGGACACAATATTTAAAACTGTAATCCATGAAAGTGTTTCAAACATAAGGCAAAACCAGAATTTATATATATAAGAATATGTAGAAGAATATGTAAAATTGTATGTTCTGACAAAATATAAATAAAATCCTGAAAAACAGGAGAGGAAAAGTACAGACAAGAATAATTCATCAATAGTTGTGCCAAAATAAGTGAGAATTAAAAAATATTATTATAAATAACTAACGAGAATAATTGGTTAAATTAAAATACAGTAAATTAAGGCATTTTTAAAAGTCATATACAAACCAACAGAAAAAGAAACCCCCATATCAAAAGAAATTTTAAAAAGTAAAACAGCAAAGATGTAACATAAACACAGCAAATTTAACATAACACATAATAACAAAATTGTAAGAAAGATCATTGAGACTGCATCTATCAGTTATATCAATAAAGAGGAATAGATTTAACTCATCTATAAGGCAAAAATTTTTTTTAATTTGGCTCACAAAGTAGGAACCAACTATACTGCATACAAAACACACATCGAAAACAAAAGGATCCAGAAAGGCTAAAAATTAAAGGATGAGAAAAAGTATTCCAGGCAAATGGAAATAATTAAGAAAACACAGATTGTGATTAATTATGATTTAGTAGAATTCAAGAAAAAGCACTGAATGTAACAAAGGACACTTTTTAATAGTCACAATTCAGAATGAATAAGAGGAAACTTTAACACAACATTCTCTATATAAGACAGATCAAATGTACAAAAAATAGTAAAGATACAGAAGACAACACATAATCAGTAAGGAAGAGATTATGGTTATATACTGAAATTTTACATTCTGAATACAGAATACACCTACTTAAAAAATGCACGTGGTACTTTCTCAAAAACTGACCACATATTAACTAACAAAGAAAATAGCCAGGAAATTTGATCTTTATAAATCGTTATAAATACTCTTTAATCACAACACAGTAAAACTAGAAGTTAAAAAAGTTTTTTTAAAAAACAAAAATGTTCTTCCTCTGAAAATGAAAAGATTTCTTATTGAACAAGTTTTGGATAAAAAATAATATAAACTGAAATTACAGATTTTCTAAAAAAATAATTAAAAACAATACACAGTACAATAAACAAGATACATCTGAAGTGATCGGAAGAAAATTCACAGCCTTAAAAACCTGCATCAATAAAAATAAATAAATGAATTAAAGTCCCCCACTTAAAAGGTAGAAAAGTAAGACAGTAAATTTTTTAAAAATAAGGAAATAAATAATAAAGGTAAAAGCAGAATTCAGTGGAGAATGGGGGTGGGGGAAACTAGGCATAATAAATAAATCATAATCCTATTATTTTGGAAAATAGTAACAACAAAGACAAGTGACTACCTAACTTAAAAAAAGGAAAAAACGCAAATCTACAAAATATGAAATGACAGAAGGGAAATAACCATTGAAACAGAATTTTTAAAAATCATGAGACTAATGATTTCCGGACTTCTTTGCAAACAAATCTGAAAAGTTAGATGAAATGAATAATTTCATAAGAAAAAATTATTTATCAAAATTGACTCCATTAGATAGAAAGCTTACAAAACTAATTTCTCTAGAAGAAATACAGCTAATTATCAAGGAATTATGCCACAAAAAATAAATCCCGGATGGTTTCACAGGGAAATTCTACCAAATCTTTAAAGAGCAGAGAGTTGTGATGCTACGAACCGTCCCTAACTTTTTGGGGGAGAATAAAGTACACATATAAATATTAAGTGTAGGGGCACTTGGGTGGCTTTGTCGCTCCCCGCTCAGCAGGGAGTCTGCTTGCCCTCTCCCTCTCCCTCAAATAAATAAATAAAATCTTTTTAAAAGAAATTAATTAATTAATAATAAATAGATAAATACTAAGCGTATTCAACAGTATAGCTGCTGCACTGGGAGTGACATACACTTGTATGTCATAAACTCTGTTCAATATCAACCAGATTTCCAATTTGAAAGAACCATCTCCAAATCACCAGGTTAGGTTCTAAAATTCTATAAACAGGGGCTCCTGGGTGGCTCAGTCGTTAAGCGTCTGCCTTCGGCTCAGATCATGATCCCGGGGTCCTGGGATTGAGCCCCACATTGGACTCTGCTCAGCAGGAAGCCTGCTTCTCCCTCTCCTGCTTCCCCTGCTTGTGTTCCCTCTCTGGCTGTCTCTCTCTCTGTGTCAAATAAATAAATAAAATCTTTTAAAAAAAAATTAAATTAAATTAAATTCTATAAACATCCTCTCTTGGCTTCCCCTTTCTGAGAAATTCCTAACACCTAGTCAAGGCAGATTTTCCTTTACTGTAAAATAAGCTAAAAAACTTAGCCTTGCTCAATCAACAGGTTTATCTGGCATTTTTTTGTGGAGTGAGCAGTGGAGAGAAGGAAAATTCAACACAGATAAGGATTGGAGAATATTTCAGATAATAACAAACAGAAAAAGGAATATAAGAAGTGACAGCAGTCCGGGGGATAAAATGAGAGATTTATCATACTGGAGATAAAGAAGACAAATTTTGGAGAGCTCCTTGGGAGTCATGCCCATAAGAGATGATTGCTTTCTATCTAGATGACAGAGGAAACTGTCATAATGTTACCTATACCAATTCTACTAATAAGGAAAAGAAATGATGTGACTAACTCACTTACCATCTAGAATACTGAGAGACTAAAGAACTATAAGAAAACCACCTTAAAAATATTACATGGCAGAACATGTCATTCTTCTTGGATAAAAGCCAACAGAGTGGATAGAAGAACTGAGTGAGAGCAGCATCTGGAGATTAAAGTTATTCAAATGGCAGAATTAAAGGCAGAAAGTTAAAAAACAAACAAACAAACAAACAAACACCAAAGTCATAAGGAGGTAAACTACTACTCTTGTCTCTACTCCTCCTAGCAGGTAATAACTAATTAACGACTGATGAATTCAGGAGGTAATGCTTATCAAATCCTCTTCAGGTAATTCACTTATAACTGTCTTTATTCCATTAGATCAGTTATTTCACAACTAGAAAGGTCAGATGGCTTCTTCCAAGATTGAATAACACTCTTTTTAGCAAATGTCAGAGTGACAGGATCACTTTGTCCAGAAAAAAAAAAAAATCAAGTTTTTAAAAATCCATGTGCCTAGAAAATCAAGCGTATTTAAAATCCTGAGATATATGAATTTTTGAGAACTCAGCAGATCCCATTTACAAACAATTAGTCTTTATCTTTACAATATCAGAGAACATTAGAACATGGCAAATTTTCAAGATAAACAAACAGAAACACACTTTAAACTGTTCCTACCCTCTCCACTCCCATCCCCAATAAGTATCTACTAGCATATTCTAGAAAGCAAAGCTTCTTCATGCAAGTGTCCACCAGAAACAAACACCACCACCTGTTCCTAAAATAGCTAGTGATGAAACAGAAGGACAGCGAGAAAGCTGGAGAAGAGACTATATACACTGTGCAGGGAGGCAGAGTGCTCTACAACTACTGGCATGCAGTGACCGTCAAGCAGGTGAACAGAATCACAGGCAGAGGCTACCAGCTAGAACCCTTAAAGGGGCGGAATGCTCCAAGCAGAAAGCCCAACTTCCGGTTCATCTCATTAAGAGTTTTCAGTGAGGAAGAATTCTACCACCAAAAGGACTATGGTTTGTAACAAAGAGAACTCTCAGGAACAAAACAGCAATTACAAATGCTAAGTTCTTCCACAAATGAAAAATCTATGTATACTTTAGAGAATAATTTAAGTATGTTCCCTATTTACACTAAAAAAGCAATACTTTTCATTAAAATTAGTTATTCCATAATATAATCTCATCTTTACTAATCATATGGTAAAGTATGTTTCATTATTTATAACTCAAAAACAGGGCACCTCCAAAATGGAGTTATTTCACCCTACACTGAAGAGAGGGCTTTGGCTCTAATTATATATATTAATGGATATACAGATTATTTCCAATTTTTACAATCCTACAGTTTGGCTCAGGGTAATGACTCATTTATCTCATTAGAGAACTTGTCATGCATTTTTCTGTTTTTATTTTTTCTTTTTCTTAGAATATCAATATTATCATTTAAAAACGGGGTATTTCTAACAGAAGATAAAGACAGTGAGGATATTCCAGAAATTAGCAGAAAATTTCATTCTTTGGCACATTTTAAAACAGTTCAAAGATAAAATACTTAATGTCACAAGAAAACCAACCTAAAATTTTCCTACCATAATGAACAGATACTAAGGAAGAACATTAGAAACCCAACTTAATTAAGGATATGCATGGAAATAAAACGCATATATCACTCCACTTCATCAGTGATAATGTTTTTAGTACATAGTAGACATACAGAGTCCTTATACTGTATATTTTCCAGGACAATTCCAAAATCAAACATTTTACGTCCATAAATACGTTCATACTTGTCAAACTATATATTCCTAATGTTGGTTGAAATATGATGATAAAGTTATAGTCCTTAGTCAAATATTTTGACTAAGTGCAGCTTTATTCAAATATAACTCAAATGTTATAATCTGTGATTAATATAAATTCATATTACATACAGCCTTCTACTTGGCTAGGTTGGTCCAGGAAAACATTTTTGGCATTGCTCATTAATTTTTTTTTAAATTCATGCTTATTTTCTGGTACTAAAAAATGGGGGAGGGGAAACAAGTTTAAAGGCAAAAACAACAAAAAAGGGGAAAAGATATTCCCATTTCAGTTAAAAGCAATTGGATTATTTAACATAGATCAATCAGCAAACTATATGGCCAGCACATCAAATACAGCCTACTGCCTGTTTCTGTAAATAGTTTTACTGGAGGGGTGCCTGAGTGGCTCAGTCGTTAAGCGTCTGCCTTCGGCTCAGGTCATGATCCCAGGGTCCTGGGATCGAGCCCCGCATCGGGCTCCCTCCTCAGTGGGGAGCCTGCTTCTCCCTCTCCCACTCCCCCTGTTTGTGTTCTCTCTCTCACTGTGTCTCTCTCTGTCAAATAAGTAAAATTAAAAAAAAACAGTTTTACTGGAACAAAGCCCTGCCCATTTGTTTACTTATTGCCTATGGCTGTTTTCACTCTACAGTGGCAGAGTTGCAACAGAAACTATAGGACCCACAACATTTACTATCTGGCTCTTTACAGAAAAAATGTGAGGGCCCCTGCTCTAGACCTTTTAAGATATAACAAAGTCTTTACATTAGTGCTAAATTAAATAACCTTAGTTTTCCCTAATTTATGATTTGACATACACTGTTAAAGTGCCCTTTATCTGAGTCCTATTAAATTAAGGTTTAGCTTTGTTGCTGTGTTCACTGAGGTTTCCCATGTACAAACCATTATATGAGGAAGAAGCTGTGAAGGTTAGCTTTAGATTAGCAAAGGCTATTCACTATTCCCATCAGATTTGTTTGTTTCCTATTTTTCTTATATTGCTGTAAAATTACCATTTCGGAGTCACTGTGAGAGGCCTGACCCAGGCTGGGTGCAGGCCCTAGCTCAGAGTGAGAAGCTTGGTCAAGGGAGAGAAGGGGCTCAATAATGTCATCGTAATCATCTTCCTCTGTATCCCCCTCCCCATCAGCAAAAGTACCTCTAGTCAAGAAATCGGAGCGCGTCCGCGCCATTCGAGCTTTCTTTTTATGGGCCGGTCTGGCAACCTGCTTGACCAAATGATAAAACAAATAACACAACAATGTTTTGTTTTGGTTTTTTTGGAGATGATGCCAATGAAAGACAGAGAGCTCATGAATTTCTTGAAACATCCCTCCACCCCACTAGCAGTGTCCTTTCTACTAGAAGTGACAGAGATAACCAAAAGCAATCCATATACATTACTCTGGACAAAGGACAAAAATGGAAGCTAAATCTACACTCTTCTCCACAGCCAAGGAAATCATCTTTCACTACCATAATATGTCACCAAAGCCACTTGCATAAATTGCCTTCCTTTTTTAAGCAACATCTTTTTTGTAAATATAATCTGGGATTTTAGTCAACATTCCCTCCCTGAAGTACACCTCCCTGAGTATAACAGACTTAACTCATAGCTTCTTTCGCATACACACTTGGGAGTAAATGCGTAAATGAGGTCCTCAACCTATAAGAATAATAATTTCCAAAATAGGTGCATCTACTTTGCATAAAAGATAGATAAAATTCAATACTTACCTCTCCTTGGCCCGGCCCAGTTAACTGCACAGGTTTCCAAGTTGGTTCACCTTGTTTACGGAGTTGAGGATTTCCACTGTTTAAGGCTTCCTTGTTGACACTTAGGATAATAAACAACAGGATTACAATTCAATTCCTAGCAGACATCCCATGGCAGCAGTCTTAAGTACAGCATGAAATACAGCCTAACAAGCCAAATCAAAGAATTCTAGCAAATTACATAAATACTTCCAGATCTTATTCAAGTCCCAAAACAATTTTTTTGTGCTTACCTAATTAATAGTATTATCAAGAATTGACATGTTTGACTGGATTACTAGAGGCCTGTCCGCGATAATCACTATGGCATATGTTTAATAGCAGCAGCAGAATTAGCTTAAGAAAACAAACGGATCTGATGATAAGGGAAAACGCCACATCCCCAAATCCTTAGAATTAGTCTTAGAAGGGACCTTTTATTCTAATCATTATAAAATACCTGATAAGTAGCTATCAAGTGATATAGATCCCATTACTTTGTTTTATACTGAGATGGTTACTATTAGCTAGCAAATTTTCTTTCCGAAACCTCTCTGCAGCTTTCATCTACTCTCTTAGTTTTAAAACTTTGTTATTCAGAACAAAATCAACACTAGCAGGATAACAAATCGTTATCAAGTTAAAGGAGGTGTGCCATACAGGGGTGTTAGCTTGTGAAAACTTAATTTTGCTTGAATAACCAGAAAATGTGACTACTTTATCATTAAATTCTGTGTAGAAATGGTTATCTGATGAAAATCTGAATAGAAGCCAGGACTTTCATGGCCCCAATTACCTATATTAATTCAGTACCATGATTCTTAAAATTTATCAACGACATATTGCTAATCTCTCCCTAGCAGAACTATAAGCTCACTGAGAATCATACCTTACCTTCTAGCATAGTGCTGGGTTTAAAGTAGACACTAACTTATAAGTTGGCTTGTAATTGCTCTATCGTTCAAAATCTTCCATTTAATTTTTACAAATGAAGACCTAGGGGCTGTAAGAGGTTATCTTGTCCTTTGCCCTATGCAATGAATCCCAAAACAAGCCTAAATAGATGGCAATCTTTGCTAGCTAAAGGCTTCTCAGAGATCTCCCTTTTTGACCAATGTATGATTAAGCCTAGCAAACCTAGGCTATCCTAAAAGATTCCCTTTTATTAAAATCTCTTGCCACAGTTGAGCCTATTGGCCTTTGCTTTGTTCTAAAAAGAGGGAAACAATTAACAGGACCTTTGACAGCACTTGACAACCCTAGCCAACTTTTAAACTCACAGCATTTTCTTTAGATTTCTCCAAGATTTCTTTTTTGTTCTCCTTCATTAACCAGATGAAGACCACTATGCACTTATCTATGGCATAGAAAGAATACTAACGTTACTTCCTAATCATGAAACTCAACAGTGATTCCTAATCATGAAACTCAAGTTCTATTCCCAACTCTTTCTCAGTATGTGACCTTGAACAAGTCATTTCACCTCTCTAGGCCTCAGTGATCTCATCTATAATATGTGGGAATGAGACAAAATAATTGAGAAACACCAACATTTACGATTCTATAAAATGCAACAAGAGGAGATTTGAAGTATGAATGTTACTTAACTTTCACATAAACAACCTAATATATAATCATTTTGAAGATAAGTAGATCTTATGAGGTAAAGCAAACTAGATCGAGTAGCCCTAAGATCGTTTATCTTGGAAAATGATAAAAGTTTACAAGAATTCACAAGAATGATTAATGTTTTTGAAATCTATAAGTAAGCCTTCTACAGAACACATTCATGGATCCAACAGCTTACACACACATTCCTCACATCACTAAACTTAATCAGAATGACAGGAAATAAAATTTTTAACACTCTGATGAGCTTATATATGCTACACAAGGTCTTTGAACTTTGGGGCAATCTCTAGGTTAATGTACAAGTATAGGACCTCAAGCTGTCATTTAGTTCAACTGTATTTCATAATACCATACAAAAATCCCTGATGGAAAAATATCAATGATCTCTTTCTTGTATTTACAAAGGAGCTATAAAGTCTGTACATAATTTTAAAGACTGAAAGATTAAAAGCTCAAACTATGATGAGAGAAAAGGTTATTTTCACAGTAAATGTGAAATTTAATTTTTTTACCCCTAAGATATATATCCTCCTTTTACTTAAACATTGACATTCTCCCACAAGAACTGAAAGAATCCACTATATACAAAGACTTAATACAAATTTCTTAAATTTTATAATTTGTTTTCATGTTCCATCTAAAAAGTACTTTTCCATGGTGACCACTAGTTAAGAAAACTTTATAAAGAACTTCCACTTATATGAGCCATCTATTTAAGTAGTTAAACTCTTAAAAAGTAGAATGGTAGTTGCCAGGAGCCTGGAGTAAGGGGAAAAGGAGAGTAGCTGTTTGATGGGTAATAAGAGTTTCTTTTACAATATGAAAAAGTTCTAGAGATCCACTGCACAACAATGTGCATATAGTTAACACCATGGTCCTGTACAATTAAGAATGGTTAAGATGATCAATTGTATTCTTTTTGTGTTTTTTACCATACAAAAAAAGTATAAAGTACTTAATGAAGACCATAAATAGGCTAATCGCTGGGACAAAGTACATTAACTTTAAAGTCTGACACTAACAAGATTGGACTTGCCACACCTGAGAGATCTAGGGCAACCAGCATTTGCTGAATGCCTACTAGGTTTACAGGCACTGTACTGCCCTTCACAAATGCTTTCTCACTTAATGAGGAGGAACCAAAAAACTCTATCTGTGCTTAGTCAAAGATTTCTATGGTATAATTTTATTCAACTTCAGGTAGCTGCTAGAGTCCACAATTAGGGAATTTTTTTTTTACACAGAGAAAATGGCTAATTTCAGTAGCACCCATACAAACAGTTGAGGTAGATTAAGGCACCTTAATAAAATTCTCCAAAAAGTTTCCCATTTATACACAAAATAAATAAGCATTTCACTTACAGGGAAATACTCATATTGTCCTTTGGCATAAAGAAAATAACCCTAGTAGTTCCATCTCCGGAAGGGTCATCAGATTTGTGGCTATAAGACTGAGTTGGTCTATGGTGTTCTCTTTTTGAAATACGATTATTAGAAACTTTACAGGCTACATTCAGTTGGGTGCACATTCTGTCTGTCTTGGATAATTCCTTGGTAGTAGCAAATGGGCATGGGCCTCCTTTCCTTTCAAAGAACAAGGTGACAGGTCGGTCCTTCTGGGGTAGGTGAGCAGAAGGACTGTCTTTTGGAAGAAGAGCTGCATCTTTTACAGTTACTGGTGGAGGCCCTACTACATTCGGTTCTTCCTTATTTGGGGTATTCAGAATGAGGAGAGAGGATGGCCTCTCTACTCTTTGGTCTGATGGATGGAAAGATGGTGCCAGGAAGGACTCCCCAGTTCTTGGCTTTTCAATTGTCTTGAAGGCTTTACGCTCCTTCTCTAAAATATCTGTTTGCTGACGAATCTGTTCCATCATCTCTTTTTCATTCTGTTGCTGCAACTGCTTTTGCCTTTCTTCCTTCTCAATGTTTAGCTTTTCTAACTTCTTCAGCACAGTATTAGAAGAATCTGTATTCAAAGATGTAACAACTTGATTTTCTCCTGGGAAGTGGTACTTTCTGGCTTCCCTGTTGATATCCAAAGTGAGAGCTGAAAGTGTTTCTTCACTTTCTAATAGCTTGTTTCTCTGGATACTTGTATCTAGTTGGGAACTTGTTTTCTGTGGGTCTTGTTGAGGAATATAAAAAAATGTAGGCAAACTATTTGAAATATAGGGGTCTCTCAGCTGTGGCTTACAGGTAATAGATTCAGAACTGCAAACCAGTTTTTCCTTCATAGTCCCATTCTTCAAATACACTGAGTCAGAGGATGCCCCCTTTTCAATCAATGTATAGTTAGTCTCACTTGAGGCACTGAGGGTATTGTTCTGTGAATCAAATTTTGGACTGCTAGATATTTTAGGTGACTGAAACTGCAAGTCTCCTTCATCTAAAATTATGGACTCCAGTTTGCTCTTTTGGCTTTCCTCACAACTCAGAAGTTCTAAGCTTCCTTGAGAGCTTTCACTGTCAGGTGTACCCTGTACAGACTGAAGGCCTTCAGGCATCAGTTCTGTAGACCATCTACGTTCCTCTGAAGGAGACACGCCACCAAGAGAACGAACTTTCAACAATTCTAAACTAAATATAGCTTGCTCTAGTTCTCTCATTCTCCGACTTTCTCTTTTGGCCCGACCTACTTTTTTTTGGTGGAGATCCTCCAAGGACTTAGGTCTCTCTCTTACAATCACTTCTTCCTGCAAGTCTACACCACTTTGGCTTCGGGCTCTCTCCTGTCGCTTGTTTGGGGACTCTTTCAAGCAGTCCATTGAAATTTCCTGGCTAATTCGATTACTCTCTATCACAGATTTACATTCCTCTATAGCTTTTACTCTGTTGTCAAAGGAACAATCCTCCCACTCTGAAGGGTCTGAACCCTGAATTTCCAGAGCTCCAGACGGCTCAGTATTTGCCAATCCAAGTTCTAGTTTTGTTTCTTTCAGTCTTTGTTCTTTTAAAACTTTAAATCTATATAAAAACAGGGAAAAATGGGTTAGAGATATCTTCTAGTTACTACTGGAGAGAATACATTTTACTGAGAATTTAATAAATGTAAAGTTCCAGATTTTTCTTCTTAAGCTAACTTGGGTACACATTTCATAATTCCATTTCTGAATGAGATGATATTTTATTAAGTGCATAATTTCTAATAGGGCATTCCAGTCAAAACATAAATTAACTCAGAAGTAAAGCTCTCATTTAAAAAATATCTTTAAGATAAACCTTACTATGAAATTAAAGTTTCTAAAGGTAAAAACAACTGAATATTGCCAATTTTTAAAGACTAAACCAAATGTAAAAGTTAACTCTTAGCAGTTATAACCATAGACCATGTAGGTTTTCAATCCAATTTAATGCACTAAACATCTATTTAGCTTCTATTATAGACCACACAATGTGCGTTAAAACTGCTAGGAGTACCACAGCCGAGTGGAGAAGACAAAATTATACATAACCAATTCTAATACAAGTTGGGCAAGTGTTAGCGCAGATATAAACAAATACTTGGAAAGAGAGGAGTAATTATCATAGCAACAAAGATTACCTTTGTCTTGCTCTGAATCCTCTACATATTGACTGCAAAAGGATGATTTTGTTCCTTTGTTCTTGATATCTCTTACTTTCCCTGTAGCCTTTCCATCTTGCCTGAATGTAGACAGCAGCCACATGTCTCCGCCTATAATGTTCCTTCCATCTCTGCTGGATGATGATGGTTGCAGTCCGGAGCTCCAAATACCGCTGCCTCTCCAAGTGAGCACGCCAGGAAGCCTGGAGAAGAGTGGCCGCACTAGCCATAACTAAAGCATCCTTCTGCACAGCTACATTTCTGACTTGCTTCTGATTTAGGTAATTCCTCCAGAATCGCTGTGGGGAAAACAATAAAAACTGCTGTCTTATACCGTATTTTCACAGAAAAAAAGAATAAGTTTATTATGTCACAATTGAAGGTTAAGTGGCTAAAGAGTTAAATTCTGCATGATTAAAGTGGGGAAAAAAAGTTTTTCTTTTCCAGATATGCTTGGCTAAAACAACTCTTTTAGAAAATATAACCTCAATGAAGTTATATAGAACTTAAAATAATTTAAAAATTTTTGATGCTTTAACAAATTACATTATCTTCTCATGCTACAGTTTGCCAATATTAATGGGTTTAAGGCCAACATGCACATGTTTCAAAGACTAAGATTCTAAAGATTTTCTTATATAAACAAAAAGGGGCCTATGGAGAACAGTCATCATATAAATCAATGAGGGAGAAAATAAAACAGAAAAATATGAAATAAGATTCCTATCATCCAAGATGAGTACAGAGTAATAACAATGTATATATAACTCTCAAATATTCTCAGGAAACTATCAAATAAAAATAACTATGTCAACAAAAATTAAGGCACATAACTCCTTTGCTCCAACCATACCTTATAAGACATTATAGCTATAAATTCAATTTAATTTAAATTCAACTCCATCAATATTTATCAGTAGTCTATTATTATAATAAGTAATCTGTTTGGTGCTATGAACCCAAATGAACAGGAGTGGTGCCTAGGTGGCTCAGTCGATAAAGCAACTGACTCTTGGTTTCAGCTCAGGTCATGATTTCATGGTCATGAGATCCAGCACTGTGTCAGGCTCTGCATTCAGCAGGGAGTCTGCTTGAGATTCTCTCTCTCCCTCTCCCTCTGCCCCTCCTCTGTCCATTCTCTCTCTCAAATAAATAAATAAATGTTTAAAAAGATGAATAGAACACATTCTCATCTCTGAAGAAGTTTATATTCTTATTCAAATGTTTCACAGTAAAACTCTAGTTACTAAAATAAAGGCCACATAAACTAGCAAATCTCATATGAGGAATCCTTTGCTCCCAACCTGGATAATGATGGATGCCTGTCTCAGATGGAGGAAATGCTGCCTACACAGAAGAACCCTGAACCATCGCTGCAACAGTATGATTCTGCGGAGCACCTCTTGGTGAAGCAGATCTTGTAGGTGCTGTCGTTCCTGTTCCTTTAGGAACACCTACCAAAAGGGAGAAAGACGAGGAATACAGCTTAAGAAGAAATGAGAAATTTATTTCATGAATCATTCTTTCTGTGGTAAGCTTCTTTAAAGAAGAATACAATGGTAGTCATGAAAAGCAGTACTGATAAATATTTCTATCCATTTATCCAAATAAGTCATTCTCAAATTTAAAAAGAGACATTAAAATATAGAAGGGGAAATGGAAAAATGTACATAATATAAAATTCTCAGTCTTAGAGATTGTGATGTATTATTCCCTTGGGAAATTCACCGCCATCATGAGCCAATGTACCACTGGTAACATGTCATTTTTCCTATTTTCAAGGATGTTAGGGTCGGGGGGAAAGGTGGGAACCACAGATCTCGAAGTTTGATGATAATATGAATAAACCGATAATAATAGTCTTTTTGAAACCCAGTATGCATCAGAGGTTTCTTGCTACCCAAGGCTATTAACCAGTTTATTTACTCTTCCATTCCATTAATAAATCTTTGGGGATATAGAGGAAAACAAATATAACTTAAGACACAGACCCTCTGGAAATAGGATTTGCACTTTACCCTTAAGAGCAGGTAGATAGAAACAACTATATATATTTAAGGTGTATAATGGGTTATTTTGATATATGTATCCACTGTGAAGTAATTATCACAAACTAATTAATGTATCCATCACCTCCCATGTCTGTCAAAAATTTAAAACTATTTAAAAAAAAGAAGAGATAGATATTAGATACGCAAAAAGGATAACAGTAAACTATAAGGGCAAAAGACAGAGGCCTCTACCTCAGCAAAACAAGGAGTTGGAAATAATAATAAATGTACATGTACAGGGCAGCATACACAGGGGTCAAAAGAACAATTAATCTTCATAAAGAAGACATTAAATGGTGTGCAGTCATGACATGGAGATTCTTGAAGAGAAAGATGTTTGAATTTAATGAGGAGTTATCATGGGATTATTATTAAGCAGGAAGCCAACATAAAAGAAAGAGGTACTAAGATGATGATTTTGATACTATGGGTAGAGTGAGTTAAATGGAATGACAGACTGAAATCAGATGAGGGATCTGTTTACTGTAAGAGAAATATAAGTGAGAGCTAAGGAACAGACTAAAATGCAAGCAGTAGGAGTGAAGAAAAAGGGAGAGATGAAAATCATTTGTGAGGGAAAAAAGAAACAGAATTTTGTAAAAGGATTAAAGTGAAGGGATGGCCAAATATAATTACAGTTTTTAGCCTAAGAACCTAGAAGAAGGATGACAGAGAAAGAGTAGTTGATAAATTAAAGACAGTAAGGGAATCTGGATAAGGTCACTTAGAGCAAGCTGAGTTGAAGATTATGGTAGAATACCTGGGGAAGAGATTGTTTTTAGGCAGTTAAAACTACAGACAGAACTAGAGCATTGGCAAGAAGCTCTTTGGTTAATAATGACTATATTAAGTAAAAATCTTGGCCTAATCAAGTTCCTTATGATATCTGGTACACTAACTTTTTCATAAATGTTCTCATGATCGTCATTATTATTTAAATATAAAAATGTATTCAAATTTGATAAGGACTGTATATGTTATATTTACCATGGATTTTCCAACTTGATAATTATCTGAATTAAGATTTATTTTCCTGAAGAAATCTTGAATGTTAAATTTGGATGGAATAATATTTCGGGGAAGAAGTACGTGGAAGTGGCTCACAAAATCCTGAAAAATGAAAAGAAAAATGTTGTAAAATCACAAGAAGATTATATGTAAACATGGTCCTAAACTAGCTAATTGTCCTTTTATTGATTCTTTCCTCATCTTTTAGAGACTGAAACCAAGAAATTACTCCTTAATTTAAAAAATTGCAAAACAGTTAATTTGTAAAATGGGGGTGGGGTGGAGAGAAGATAGTGAATTCCACATATTTTGTTATCAAAGGGGAATGGAAGAAGAAAAAAGCAGAAACTAATGATCCCTTTTGAGAAAGCTATATTAACGACCAAAGAAAAAGTTATTTAATAACTGAAATTTTTAGCAGAAAAATATGCAAAGGTGTCAGGGTGTAACTGAGAATGAAACTTTCCCTCCCACAAACAGCAAAAAACTTGCTTAGCTGCTGAAAAGCTTCAACATAATTTCTATACCCATAGCAGCAATAGCTGATGAGAATAACTGTAAGCCTTGCTGGCAGCTTACGATGAAAAAAAATCTTACTGAGATAACTTTACAGAAAACTAAATGGAATCTTTTCTGATTGAACTCTTTCAATTACTGGAGTAATCAGTAGGAAGAACTACTGTGTTATGAGTAAACTTAGTATTAGCAAACATTCAGATCAAATGAGAATAGCCAGGAACTGGATTCTATCACACACAAGTTTAATAAGATTGCTGCCACTCAATGGAAGTGAGTACTCTCGACCCCTCTTCAATTCTGTATACAAAAGATGGAATGCAAATGAAGAAACAGGAGAAATAAACAAGTGAGACCCAAATAAAAAATAAGACACAGGAATAACTTACTTAATTGTATATACATTTAAATATCACTATAAAGCATAACCTGGAAAGAATATTTGCAGCTGTATCCAGATTGGCGAATTCGAACTGTCTCCAGCATCCCAGTGTACCGAAGCTGTCGAAGTACCAAGGTATCATTAAATCTTAACGGCAGCTAAAACAAAACAAATGGAAAAAAATTAACCCAGACTAAAAGATCCCCAAATTCATGTTTCTCCTGTAAGTACGGTTAGCTTTTGAATGTCTAAAAATTCACTGGAGATTGTCTGGTTAAGACACAGCAGAGGTGATGGGAAAATCTTACCTCCCCAGCTGGTAGCTTCAGAAAAAGGTCTAACTGCCTGACCCTAGGGAAAAAGGAGAAACCAAGCTTCCAGGCTGCTCTAGTTGTAGAGGGAGAGGACCTTCAAAGCTAAAAAGAAATGTAGTTGCCCACAGGAGGAGGCCACATAGCCTAGCCACTATAGAAATCTATAACCTACTTATATATAGTCAAGACTGTCTTAGACGAACCATTAGAGATGATGGACTCTGAAAAACAAACTGAGGGTTCTAGAGGGGAGGGGGGTGAGGGGATGGGTTAGCCTGGTGATGGGTATTAAAGAGGGCACATTCTGCGTGGAGCGCTGGGTGTTATGCACAAACAAAAACTAATGATGTAGTATGGTGATTAACATAACAATAAAAATTATTTTTAAAAAAAGACTGTCTTGTATTTTTGTTTTTAATTAAGATTTTCTCTATAATCTCACTCAGAAACCACCTACCCCACCCACTCTACCAGTTGCCTTGGTTAACTGAGAGCTGACAGATTCTTCTTTCAATGACTAGTACAAGTTTAAGAGTAGCTTATTTCCCGTGGCACCTGGGTGGCTCAGTTGGTTAAGCATCCGACTCTTGGTTTTGGCTCAAGTCCATGATCTCAGGGTCATGAGATCAAGCGCCACATCCAGCTCTGCTCTCAGCAGGGAGATGGGTTGAGATTCTCTCTTTCTCCCCCTCTGCCCCTCACCACCCCCACTCTCTCTCTTACTCTCAAATATATCTTTAAAAAAAAAAATAAAAGAGTAGCTTATTTCCCTAAATGCTTTTTTGCTGATGATACTGGTAGGACACACTGAAAAACAAAAAATTGCTATAGTTCCTGAGAACTGATCTCCTCACTGCCTAGGCACTGATGAGGAAGAAGCTAATGGGAGGTAGTCATTCATCACCAGTCACAACACCCTGTCACTTGTAGGTATCTCAGTAGGCATGTTTGTAGCTATTCCAAAGATTTATTTGGGGCTTCTTTCTCCCTATTCTCTAAATACTATTTTCAATGACCCCCTAAGGCAATCCCAAACATTTTCCTGCAGAGACATGGGACATACCAACTATCAAGGAAAAAAAATCAAATGGGCAACTTATGTTAAATAGTAATAACAGTCAGAGCACCCGGGTGGCTCAGTCAGTTAAGCATCTGCCTTTGGCTCAGGTCATGATCCCAGGGTCCTGGGATTGAGCCTCACATTGGGCTCCCCGCTCAGCGGAAAGCCTGCTTCTCCCTCTCCCTCTGCCCCTCCTCTCTGTGTTCTCTCTCTCTCAAATAAATAAAATCTTTAAAAAATAAAAATTAAAAAATAGTAATAATAGCAGTCAATGTTTATTTAGTACTTATTCTATGCCCTGAAATACACTTCACTAATTGAACTCTCTGTATAACAAGGTCTCAACTAATAAGACTCAAACTTCTATTTAACTGTAAATAAAAAGATTTCCTTTTTTGCTACTCTAAAAGAATAGCTAACAAAATACTAAACAATTAGTACGGACCAGGAACATTCTAAGTACTTTGCAGGTATTGACCCATGTATACTATACCGACACACTATTAGACTGGTCCTATAATTATAGTATATTCTTACAAAGATGAGATCATAAAAGCCACAGAAACGGTAAGTTCACAAAATCTGTAAACTGCAGAGTTGAAGACTGCTTCCTAAAAATTAAGAAAGCTGGATGTAATTCACACTATATATTTACAGTACTAGAGAACTATACATTTTAGCTATTCAGGCTGGGAACTATTTTTTCCTATGATGAACATAAAGAAATATGGCAAATGTTTATACTTATTAGATATATTTTACAAAGCTCTAATTAAGAGACCTATCATAGAAAGCAGGAAGGAATCAAGAATGTCCACAGTACCTTCCTTATTTAGCAGAGATAAAAAACTCTAAACATAAAAAATGCTAAGCAAATTCTTTAAGAATGACAGCTTATAGGCAAATAAGATTAAATCTCAGGGTAACAAAAGTTGCATAAAACTTTTATGATGGAATTTCATAACATATTTGTTTCTCAGTTATTAGGAAACACTAAATCAAGCCCATTTAAATACCAAAAAGGCAGGTAAGTACAGAAATAGGATATCTACAGAAAATACAGAACACTGTTTTCCTTAAAAAGATTATAAAAGCTCTTCCCCTCTACTTACTCTCCTTAAAAAAATGTAAAGCCTGATTTGAAGTAAGCAGAGCTAGAAGCTCTCACTTACAGGACATTTTTACCTTTTCAGCATTAGAACGAATGCATTTTACAAAATAGGGTTCTGCTTGACCAAGTGTCTCCATCAGCTTGCTTAACGAGGCCTGCAATACAAAGCAATATAATTAGCATTTTCTCCCATTCTAAACTGGCAGAAAATAATTTATAAATACAAACGATAATGTTGGCAAACTATGGTGAAACAATGGTATACACAGAAATAGCTTTCTTTCTCAAAAGCAAATTGTGTATATTCCCATACTGATTAAATTAAAGAGAATGATGGTAGTTTAATCTTAAAGCTGATAGTTTGGCAACAGTATATGTTGCAGATATATTAAAGAATAACGTCTAGAATAAATTTTTCACCTTTCTTCACATCTCATGAAACAATTTACTCAAACTCATGCGTTCCTAAACAACTTTGAAAATTTCCTGTAGGGTATCCACTAGCTAGTAGTCCCCCACTTTCTGTGTTCATGCTAGTGATGTCCCCCTCTTTCATTCCTGATACTGATAATTCGTACTTTACCTCTTTTTTTTCTGGTTAGTCCAGCTAGAGGTTTATAATTTTTTTTATCTTTTCAAAGAACCAACTTTTTGGTTTCATTGATTTTTCTCTATTATTTTTGTTTTCAATTTCATTGATTTCTGCTTTTATCTTTATCATTTCATTCTATTTGCTTGCTTTGGAATTAGTATGTTTTTCTTTTGCTGGTTTCCTAAGATAGAAGCTTACATTTTTGATTTGAGGCCTTTTTCCTTTCATTAAAAGCATTTAATGTTATCAATGAACCTTGGAACACTGCTTTAGCTACACTGCACAAACTTTGATATTTTACTTTCATTTAAAATATTTTTAAAACCTTCCTTCCTCTTTGACTCATGCATTATTTAGACGTCTGCTTTTTATTTTCCAAATATCTGGGGATTGTTATCTTTTCTTTATTAGATTTCTGGTTTAATTCTATTTTATGGTCAGATAACATATTCTGTTTTTTAGTATTCTATTTATCTATTGGCTTCTCTGTTACATTTCTTTGTAGTATTTTTTAGTGGCTGCTCTACCGATTATAATATGCAAACTTGTCACAGTCTACTCAGAGTTAATATTTTGTGACTTCAAGTAAAACTTAGAAGCCATATAACCATATAGACTCCTATTATTATTATCATATATATTACAGCAACATATAATTTTTTTACTTTTAAGTGCTCTTTTTTGTCAGAAATGTTTATTGTATTATAAAATACATAAAATAAAATGCTTAAATCACAAGTATACAGTTTGATGAATTGTCACAAAAGGAACACACTCTTGTAAACAAGGCCCAACTCAATAAAATATTACCAGAATCTCAGAAGCCCATCTTTACCCCATCCCATTGAATTTAGCAAGGTCACTGTACATAAGTTACCCACCGCCACACCTGAACCAAGGGTAACAATTACCCTGACTTCTAAGATGGTAAGTTAGTTTTGCCTGTTCTATGACTTCATATAAAACCAAAGATACACTATATACTAGTTTGTATTTGTTGCATATAATTATATTTTGTACATTTTCAGGACTATATAATAGTGATCCACTGTATGACTATACCACAACTAAATAATCCATTGAAGATCGATATTTATTTGTTCCAGTTTGGGCTATTATGAATAAAGTTGCTATGGGCATTCTTCTACATATCTTTCAACTGTTTTCCAAATACCTGCATCAGTTTATATTTCAAAAACAGTGTATAAAAGTTCTGGTTGCTCCACATCCCTGCAAACACTTTGTATAATCAGTCTTTTTAATTTCAGCCATGCAGGCAAGTGTGTAGTTAATTTGCATTTCTCTGATGACTAGTAATGTTGGGCAGGTATTTAACAGGCTCACTGGCCTTCTGGATTACATCTTCTGATATCAGACAAGTTTTGGCTGTTCAAGATTTTTGCCCATTTCAATTAGGGTCTCTGTCTTTCTAAAAATTGATTTGTGGTTCTTCATATATTCCATATACAAGGTCTTTTTCAGATGTATCGCCAGTATATTTTCAAACCTTGCAGCTTGCCCTTTTCATTCTCTTGACATTTTGTTTTTAACAATTTTATTGAAATACAATTTAAATAATATAAAAATGTACCCATTATAGTCTACACATCAATGATTTTTAGTAAGTTTATATAATTGTACAAACATCACCACAAGTGAGATGTAGAAATCTTCCATCACCCCAGAAATTTCCCTCCTGCCCATATGCAATAATAACTGCTCCTGCTCACAGCCCCAGGAAACCACCAATCTGCTTCCTGCTGCTATAAACAAACTATCTTTGAAAAAACAATCCTTTTTAGGTATCTTTTCCTCTGATTATAAAGCCAATACGTAGGTACTGTAAAAAACTTAAGACATAGATATATGTTCAGAGAATAAAAGTCAGCTTGACAATTATATAATTGTTATTTAATTTATTATGATCACATTTATTGCCAAATGCCCAGTCACAACAAAAAGAAATGGATTTCTATGTATATAAAACTAAAATAAAACCAGAAAATACCTACAATCCCATTTAAATATAGATGGCAGTAGCATGAAGTTTAAAATATATATAGAAAAAAAAACATACAGATTATGTTAACAGTGACTATATCTGGACAATAGGGTTTAAAGGCAGGTTTTGTTTATAGTATCAATTTTCTGCTGCCTGTCTCCTCACACTGAAAACAATGAATTACTCTTTGGGATATCCACTACCCACACATAAAAGGATGAAAAAGAAAGGCAGCTGGCTTTCCACCCTTGTTACTTCTCTCCAAAATGACCACTATAGTATGGCTTTTAAGTCATATGTATCATCTTCCATTCAGGTATCTTGCAGATCATCTTGACTTTTCAATGCCAATCTGAATGAAACAGATTCCTCTAAAAAACCTTTTTTTATAAAAAGGTAAAATAAGAAATAACCTGAAACTGGGCACTGATGCTGGGAGGTTTTTTCTTCTTATGCAAATGAAGAAGAGACTTGGTGATGCGATCCTGTAGTGTCAGTCTTGTCAGGTGCTTTAAAGAATTTACCTCCAGCAAGTGCTGAAAAGAAGGGAGAAAAATCAAATTCCTCACATAAATTAAGCAAAGAACAGGAAAAACAAAATTATAAGCCAGTTTTCATTATCACCTATGTATAATGACTGTGGTGAATATGAGAGATTGGATATTCAACAACCATCTTACCCCTCCTGCTTTCCAGCAGAAGCTTTCCAGCTAAAAAGAAAACTGCATTTCTCAAACTCTCTTGCATTTGGGTTCCAGATGCAATTTAAGTTCATCATTTAAAATCCCACACGTGACGCTAGGAAGGTATAACTGAAGCAGAGACTTTGACTACTAGGTTCTGTTTCTTCTGACAAGCATGCACATCAAAGTACTTTAACTTTCTGTGATCCCAATGTCCAGGTACTACCTTTATGAGTTGAGAGGCAGAGTACACGGAATTTGTGCTGTCACTGAAACTCTAATAAATGCACCTTAGCCCTGGAGCCAATAGTTGGTGCAGCTCCTTTCTGACTCCCGGATCACACCACAGATAGTATGTGCCCGAACGCAGCAGCTAGAATGGCAATTTCCTGCTTTCCTAGCTGATTACAGCTAGGGTCAGTTCTGCACTGCTGTTTTAATACTCTGAAACTCTTTAAGACTTCTAATGATTTTGTAAGTGCCTCTTTGAATTAAGTCCTTTTCTACTTAAAAATATCCACAGTTATTACTGTTATCTGTAACTGAATCCTTACTCACAGAGACAATAAATTAAATTCAATCCTAGGGCTATAGCATGTAAGCCAGAAATGTACACAGAAAAAGAAAACAAAACATCAACCCTATCAACCATAATCCTGATATACTAATTACTAATCTTAAGATTGGAGTTGTACATAAAGCAACTAAAGAATACAACATAGGATGTTAATAAAGTACTTGAGAGCTTTTGTAGCCAATCACAATTTTTAAAACCATACCATATTTATGGCAGTGAGTCTGTCCATGGAAAGAATATATCTATACCTATGTAAACTATATAACGTTACTCAAAAAGTACTAAAAATTTTATTATATGAGAAGCACAGAACTGAGTTAAAAACATGACAAATTTAAGTCTTTTTAAAAAATATTAACTTTGACAATATAAACACTTAAAAATATAAACCTTCAAGTGATAAGTACAATACATATTTTAACAAATGCAACTAAATAAAATCTTTCCAACAATGACAAAGACTTATTATCTGTACATAAGAACCATAAAAATTCCTTTAAAAACTCATCCCACAATTAACAAATGAACAAAAGACCTGAAACGGGCAATTCTCAAATAAAGTATAAATAACAATATAATGACAATCATTCAACCTTACTACTTTCTCACACTATACTCAAAAATAAACTCAAATTGGAGTAAAGACCTAAATGTGAGACCTGAAACCATGAAAATTCTAGAAAAAAAACATAATCAGTAATCCCTTTGAACATCAGCCTTAGCAACATTTTTCTAGATATGTCTCCTTAGGCAAGGGAAACAAAAGCAAAAATAAACTACTGGGACTACATCAAAATAAAAGCTTTTGCACAGCAAAGGAAACCATCAACAAAATGAAAGGCAACATAGTAAATGGGAGAAGATATCTGCAAATGATATATCCAATAAGGGGTTAATAAAAATGATGCAATTAAAAAATGGGCAGAGAATCAAAGAGACATTTTCCAAAGAAGACATAGAGATGGTCAACACACAAGAAAAAAATGTTCAACATTACTCATTATCAGGGAAATACAAATCAAAACCACAGTGAGATAGTACCTTATACCTATCAGAATGGCTAGCACCAGAAAGACAAGAAAGAACAAGTGTTGGTGAGGATTTGGAGAAAAAGGAACCCTCATGCACTACTGGTGGAACCTAAATTGGTACAGCCACTATGAAAAATAGTATGCAGGTTCCTCAACAAATTAAGAACAGAAATACCATATGATCTAATAATTCCACTACTGGGTATTTACCCAAAGAAAAAACACTAATTCAAAGAGATATACGCACCCCTATGTTTACTGCAACATTATTTACAACAGCCAAGATATGGAAGCAATCCAAATGCCAATAATGAATGGATAAAGAAGAGGTGAGGTATATGTATTCAAACACACTCATATACACAATAGGGCTATTACTCAGCCATAAAAAAGAATGAGATCTTGGCATTTGTGACAACACGGATAGATCAAGAGGGTATTATGCTAAGTGAAATAAGACAGAGAAAGACAAATACCATATGATTTCACTTAAAATGTGGAATCCAGAAAACAAAACAAATGAATAAACAGACTCATACAGGAAAAAAAGTGATAGTTGCTAGAGGGAAGGGGTGAAATAGATAAAGGGGATTAAGAAATACAAACTTCCAGTTATAAAATAAAAAAGTCACAGAGATAAAAAGTACAGCATAGGGAATATAGTGAGTAATATTGTAATAACATTGTTGGTGACAGGTGGTGAGCACTGAGAATCAATGAATCAACATGTTGTATACCTGAAACTAGTACAACACTGTATATTAATTATACATCAATAAAAATAGAGAAATAGATGGGATTTCTGTGACTGATAACTGAATAGAATTTTTTACTTCAGGTGTAGCCAACATGAATATTTTTAAACCATATTAAGTTTAAAGAGAAGTTATTCACTTGAGGAGAGTAAAAAGAATGGTACAAATAGCTAGACCCAGTAGTGGCATTCAAAATACTAAAAGGCTAATTAGGGAAAGAGTCCAAATGTCCATCATCTGATGAATGGATAAAGAAAATGTGAGATATATATATATATGTGTACACACACACACACACACACACACACACAGATATTACTCAGCCATCAAAAAGAATCTAGCCACTGGCAAGACATGGATAGAGCTAGAGTGTATTACGCTAGGCAAAATAAGTCAGTCAAAGAAAGACAAATACCATATAATTTCACTCATATGTGTAACTTAAGAAACAAAACAGCATAGGGGAAGAAGAAAAAAATAGGTGGAGGGAGGCAAACCATAAGACACTATTAACTATAGAGAACAAACTGAGGGTTGATGGAGGGAGGTGAGTGGGGGATGGACTAGATGGGTGATGGGTATTAAGGAAGGCACTTGTGATAAGCACTGGGTGTTCTATGTAAGTTATGAATCACTAATTTCTACTCCTGAAACCAATACTACACTACATGTTAACTAACTAGAATCTAAATAAAAACTTGAAACAAAAACAAAAGACTAAAGAGACAGTGAATGAAAAAAGAAACAAATGAAAAGATGTTTGATAATGCAAGTGGTACCCTTTTTCGCTACATAAAATATTTTCGTGATAAGAATATAATTACAAACCACTTAACATAAATTTTCTTTGTGCTTTGTGGTTTAAAACAATATTTACCACTACCAGAAACCACATAAGCAGTACATTACATTTTCCTTAGAAGCCTAAGAGGCTTAAGTAGAAGAAATAATAACCTCATTTTTTTTGCTTTTTGAACTAGAGAATTGTGAGAATAAACAGCTCCTTCTCGGGTTTGTTTTTTTTAATTTTGGCATTCATCAAAAAGGTGAAAAGTGACAGGATTCCTTCTTTGGGACGGTACAAGAGAAAGAAACAGATTTTTCTTCCTTTATTAAATTCAATAAACATTTTTGGAATGCCATCCAAAAATCTACTATGTAGATCACCGTAGGAAAATTATAGCCATGCGCCAAATCCTATCCACTGTTTTTATATGGTTTATATGGTTGAAAAAAACATTAAAATAGTATTTAATTATATGTGAAAAATTATATGAAATTCAAATTTCAATGTCTAGAAATAAAGTTTTAGTGAAATACAGTCACACTTGCTCAGTTCCATATTGTCTGTAGCTGCACTTGCGCTACAACGGCATAGCTAAGTAGTTAACAGAGACTACAGGCTCGCGAGCCTATCCGACAGAAAAACTGGTCTGACGAGTGCCAAATGATAATAATGAGTTAGATAAGCACTAATTAGGAATTATTTAAAATCAGGTAAAATTCAAAATTTGACCTTAACCTGGCTTAAGGATAAAAGAAAAAATCTTACGTAAAGATGCAATTACTCAACAAAAATTAACATTTATATTCAGATGCTTTTCAAACACCAGAACATGAGATACATCACAAATATTTACCTGAACCATTAAACCATTTCCTAATATCCAATGTTATTTCTAAAATGGATTTAACTAATTACACAAAATTAATCCCTCTTTTGGGTACAAATAAGGTACTGCCTATCTTTGATTATTTATAAAGACTGTTTGAATGAGTAATAAAAAAATAATTATGGTGTAGGGCACCAATAGAAAAAAGTTTTTCATAATACTCACCTTTGGAAGGCCAGGCTTGGACTTGAAATTTTTGTTTCTCCTATACAGACAAATCATTACATTTGAAAAATTTGAAATTATTACAAAAAACTATTATACAGATGAATGATTTCCAGGTCTCTACTAAGACAGTAGATTTATATACCCATTTCCAAGATATAGGTCCTCTATATGAAAACACTGACTGATTCAACTAAGCAGACACCTTTGGGAATGAAAAAAAGCAAGGAAAAGAGAACAAGAAAAGAAATGCCTGCTCTGTAATATTGCTATAAACAGATTTAAGTCTGATAATCAGTAATGTAATGTTGTACATTCAAAACTAAAATGTCATTTTCTTTTGGACATTAATAAAGTTCTAATTTCTTGTACCTATAGAAACTTTGTTTCTGTCATTTTAAGACTTTAAATAGAGGCCTAATTTCATGGATTTTTAAAATGTACTTATTAAAAAACTTAATGACTTTCCCCTTTTAGAAATTAAAAATTCTTGGGATGCCTGGGTGGCTCAGCCAGTTAAGCATCTGCCTTCAGCTCAGGTCATGATCCCGAGGTCCTGGGATCGAGTCCCACATTGGGCTCCTTGCTCAGTGGAGGCTGCTTCTCCCTCTGACCCTCTCCCCTCTTGTGCTCTCTCTCATTCTCTCTCTCTCAAATAAATAAATAAAATCTTAAAAAAAAAAATTAAAATGTTAAAAAAAATTAAAAATTCTCTTCTGTTCTTTTTCTTATAATTCAATATTATATTTACATCAAGATTTTTTTAATAGATAAAGAAAAGGAATAATGCCCAAGGCTTATGAACATGAGCTGGGGAGTCAAAAAGACCTGAGCTTGAATCTAAACTCTACCTAAATCTAAAACCTACTAGGGTAGGATTTTTCTCTAAGCCTTGGTTTCATCAACGTGATAATGTAAAACAATGTAGAATGTAATAATGTAAAATGAGGATGATAATACCATCAATACAAGTTATTGTGAGGATTAAATAAGTTAATTTACAATTCTGAAGTACAGCAAGACTTATATAAATTGAGCCCATTAGCACTGTTAAGCACTGACTTTGACAGGGATTGAAGAATCCAATTCAGTCATACATCTAGCTAGTGGCCCAAAAATATGCTTTGAAATAGTGTCTGAAATATGTGGATACAGGGAGCTAAGAACTTTTTACTGGTCCATCCTGCATAGTTATATCCATGCCTTCAAACCAGTCCTATAATCAGGTAATGAGGAACGGCAGGCTGGATAAAGGTTATATATCACTATATACGATCCCAGTCACCATTTTTTTTCCCATGGTTCTTTCTAGTTTATTGTTTGGTAGAAAGACAGGCTCTTGAATGCTGTATAAACATCTCACAAAGTGCTTCTTCTAGTTTACAAAAAGTCAAAGCCAATCTTCTTTGAGATGGGGCCCTTAAATCTGACATTCAAGTCACCGTAATAGAAACAGGAGCTGTTGTACTTAATATTCTGGAAGGCCCAATCACCATTTTCACTCAAAATTCTACTCATGAAAATGATTCACCATCACCCCTCTTCTTTTTCAGCCAGAAATTTTAAACCAGTGATAAAAAGCAATCCACATTTCTGATCAATACTAACATGAGAATTCCATGGGCTCTCTCCAAGAGTTTGCTGCTAGCTGAATTAGCAAATATCCCATCTTTATCAAGCAAAGAGGTGCTACTTGATAGTCTGCTCTGACGAATCCCAGTTCTGCCATTCCACGCAATATCAAATGTATCTCTGTAAAAATCAAATACAGTACAATTTGCTTTAGTTAACTGAGACATATCTAACAATCTCCAAATTGCTTAAATAAGGAAAACCTAAAACTTTAAACACTAAAATTAAAATTTAGAAAAAAGCTAAACCAGCAGAAAATTATATTATCGCAGAGATTACCAATCAATTTGGACTAATCTTTTCCTTGTTCAGAACGAATAATTTCTATGGATTCTGGAACATTCAAATACCAATGTGCACATATAATACAGCTACTATCTTTTTTTTTTAAGATTTTATTTATTTATTTGACAGAGACACAGCTAGAGAGGGACACAAGCAGGGGGAGTGGGAGAGGGAGAAGCAGGCTTCCCGCGGAGTAGGGAGCCTGATGCGAGGCTCGATCCCAGGACCCTGGGATCACGACCTGAGCCGAAGGCAGATGCTTAATGACTGAGCCACCCAGGCACCCCTAATACAGCCAATACCTTTAAATCTATTAAATTATTTACAATCAGTAAATAATATAAGGTATTACACATAATGTGATTTTTTTTGTCTTTGTTAGATATTAGTACTTCCAAATACTACTGAAGGAATTTATAATCCTAATAGGCTAGCCCATTCTATGGAATATTTAATTTCTTCCTGGAAGGTCACACACTCACTATGAACGACGTATCCACCAAAGTTACTAGGCATCTTCTATGGGCTGAGCACTATTCTAGCCATTGGAGATAAAGGAGTGAACAAAACAGATAAAATTATCAGGGATTAAAATATGAAGAATTAATAGGGGGCTTTCCAGGTACTGATAGCAAACTGGCCACATATTTGGATTCCTCCACAAACCTGTGAAAATTTAATAAAATAATTTTTAAGGGAATAAACACTTAAAGAAAATATACTGAGAAAATAGTAACACAGTTTTGAAATATGGAAAGCAGATGAATGTAGAAACAACTTTTTTTTAAAAAAGATTTTATTTATTTGTCAGAGAGAGAGAGAGAGAAAGAGCACAAACAGAGGGAGAAGGAGGCTTCCTGTCGAGCAAGGAGCCTGATGTGGGACCTGATCCCAGGACCCTGGGATCATGACCTGAGCTGAAGGCAGACCCTTAACCAATTGAGCCATCCAGCTGTCCCTATAGAAAGTAATCTTAAAGTGGCTGTGGAAAAAGACTGAGAAGTATCCATATTTACAAAACTCCGAAAGGCTCCAGAGCTGGTGGTACCATGTACTCATGGAAGTGGCAGAAAAGGTGGGTTAAGAAAAAGAGCACTAGTTGAAAGTCAGTTTAAAAGCAGTTAGAACTCCATGCAGCCTGATGACCATCCCTCCTTTATCTAAGCAAGAGGATGAAAGAGAAAGTCCATGGACTAGACAGCACCAGGTACAAATGGGGATGGGTATACTTTAAAAAGTCAAAGAAAATACTGAAAATATGGCAGCTGGGACTATATCTTCCAAGAATAAAATTAAACTTTTGTGTAGAATTTGACCAGCCCAAGAGGAAAGACCCAAAGATATACTGATATGTTCTAGACACTGACAACACACCCAATTAATCAGATTCCAATTAGCTTTTTAGTGTTTCAATATGAATATAAACAGGTGACCAAGGTTCACTAGACATCTGAGGAAAGCCCCTAGCATGAAACAGAGACCAAAACAATCATGACATAAACAACTTGGAAGTAAAAAAAGATTTTTAAAGCTATCAGTAATATTTTTAGAGAAGAGAAAAAATATTGCATCTATAGAGTAAGATATTATGAAAAAATTAAAAATTGAGAAAACAAAGTAATGAAAAGCGCCAAAAAATTAAATGAAAATGCAGAAATATATCCACTCATTCAAAAATATTTATTGAGCACCAACTAGTACCAATTTTTTCTGTCATCTTCACATTACTTAAATTCAAATGGAAAAAAACAAACAATAAACACATAAAAAATACATTGTATGTTGGATAATAGGTGCTAAGGAGAAATTTTAAACATACAAGAATGCCAGGATGCTAGACTTTAATAGGGACCTCAGGAGAGGCCCCATGAATAAGACTCCATTAAAACAGAGATGTGAAGGAGATAAAAAAGCAAATCAAGCAGTTATCTGGAAAAAGAGCATTCTATTCAGAGAGAAGAGCAAACATACAGTGGGAGGCAAGAATTTTGTTGATGAATATGAGATATATTAAATGAATCAGCAAGGCTGGAGTGGAATAAACAGAGAAAAAATGGTAGACCAAGTCAGAGAGGGAGGAGGAAGCCATGTTACATATACCTTCTAGGAAATGTAAGAATTTTTGGCTTTTTTTTTTTAAGATTTTATTTATTTACTTGAGAGAGAGTGCGCGAGAGAGAACATGAGCGGGGGGGGGGCGGGGGCAGGGAAGCAGAGGGAGAGAGAGAAGCACGCTCCCCGCTGAGCAAGGAGCCCATCACACCTGACACTGGGCTCCATCCCAGGACCCCCGGGATCATGACTTGAGCCAAAGGCAGATGCCTAACCCACTGAGCCACCCAGGCACCCCAGAACCTTTGGCTTTTAATGGGAATGAGAAAGAATGACAAAGAACGACTTTCAGGAAAACGCTAACATGATTCAGCTTTTCAATACTAAAATGCATTTTGTATTATATATATTTATATATTACATTATATTAAAATAATGATCCGGTTGCTGTATTGAAAACTGTTTGGGAGACCAAGGATAAAAGCAGGGAGATTATTTTAGGAGGCTATTACAATAATCCATACCAGGGCAACAGCAGTGGAAGGAATAAGAAATGGTGAGATTCTGGATTATCATTTTACACTACAGCCAATGTAACTTGCTGATGGACCAAATGGGGAATGTATGAGAAAGCGGAAATTAAGGATGACTTCGAGATTTTTCACTAATAACAGATTTAAAGATGAGGCAGTAGGAGAGATTATTTCTTATAAATCAAAACAAAACAAGATGAAAAGTGATAATAAAATAGTTCCAGTAGACTCAAGACCCAACAAAAGAGTTTCTAGACAGATCCTACAAGATTCTGGTACTTAAGTATAGAGGAGAGATGTCACATACAAGGGCTCAAGAATCAGAAAAAGGGCATCTATAAAAAAAAAACAACAACACATCATGCTTAATGACTAAAAATAAACTGGAAGATTTCCCACTAACATCAGGAATAAGACAAGAATGTGAGCTCTGGCCACTCTTATTCAACTCTACTAAAATTTCTACTGAAATTTTCAAGAAAAAAGAAAAGATATCCAAATTGGAAAGAAAGAAGTAAATTTATACTTAGTCACATAAGACATGATCTTACATGGAATACTCAAAGGAATCCACTAAACAACTATTAGAACTAATGAATTAAGCAAGGTTTAAAAATTCAATTATATTTCTATATAACAGCAATGAATAATTGATTATAAAAGCAAAAACCTCACTCATAACAGCATGAAAATAATATTAATACGTGGGAGTAAATTTAACAAAAGAACTGTAAGACTTGTACACTTCAAATTTGAAGAGTGCTGTCATGGAATATCTTTTCACTTATTTAGTTCTTTCATTCTTTTAACAATATTTTTTAGTTTTAGTGAACAAGTCTTACACGGGGTGTAAGACTTACATGGGATGCGGAGAAAGGGGAACCTCCTACACTGTTGGTGGGAATGCAAGCTGGTGCAGCCACTCTGGAAAACAGTATAGCGCTACCATACGACCCAGCAATTGCACTACTGGGTATTTACCCCAAAGACACAAATGTAGGGATCTGAAGGGGTACATGTACCCCAATGTTTATAGCAGCAATGTCCACAATAGCCAAACTGTGGAAAGAGCCAAGATGTCCATCGACAGATGAATGGATAAAGAAGATGTGGTGTATATATATATACAATGGAATATTATGCAGCCATCAAAAGGAATGAGATCTTGCCATTTGCAACGACGTGGATGGAACTGGAGGGTGTTATGCTGAGCGAAATAAGTCAATCAGAGAAAGACATGTATCATATGACCTCACTGATATGAGGAATTCTTAATCTCAGGAAACAAACTGAGGGTTGCTGGAGTGGTGAGGGTGGGAGGGATGGGGTGAATGGGTGATAGACACTGGGAGGGTATGTGCTATGGTGAGTGCTGTGAATTGTGTAAGACTGTGGAATCACAGACCTGTACCTCTGAAACAAATAATACATTCTATGTTAAAAAAAAAGAAGAAGAAAAAGAAGATAGCAGGAAGGGAAAAATGAATCGGAGGGGGAGACGAACCATGAAAGACTATGGACTCTGAGAAACAAACTGAGGGTTCTAGAGGGGAGGGGGTTGGGGGAATGGGTTAGCCTGGTGATGGGTACTAAAGAGGGCACGTACTGAATGGAGCACTGGGTGTTATATGCAAACAATGAATCATGGAACACTACATCAAAAACTAATGATGTAATGTATGGTGATTAACATAAAAATTAATCTATAGATTCAACACAACCTCTAGCAAAAACCCCAGCTGCCTTTTTGCAGAAAATAACAACATAATCCTTAAGTGCATATGGAAATACAAAGAACCCAGAATAGCCAAAACAATGCAGAAAAGAACAAAGCTAGAAGAATTACAGTTCCTGATTTATAAATCTATTACAAAGCTATAATAATTAAGACAATATGGTACTGGCGTAAGGAAAGACACATATATCAAGAGAAGAGAGTTGAGAATCCAGAAATAAACACTTCTAGTTAGGGTCAATTGAGTTCTGATAAAGGCATCCATCAAAGACAATTCAACAGGGAATAAACAGTATTTTCAACAAATGGTGCTGAGATGACTAGATATCCACATGCAAAGGAAAGAAGTTGAATCTTTCTCAACATATACAGAATCAACTCAAAATCAATCATAGATCTAAATTCAAAAGCTAAAGCTATAAAACTCTTAGAAGAAGAAAACAGAGTAAACCTTTGTGAAATGGGCTTAGGTAATGATTTCTTAAATATAACAAAAGTATAACCAAAAAGAAAAA